AATCGGAACAATTTCTTCAGATCGCATAGCACTGCCTTTGAAAATAATCTATATCAAATTTTGTGAAAGTATCTCGTGAAATAAAAAAAAAGTTTTTTATCCAAGAACTTAAATTTTATTTTTCAGTTTGTATGGCAGGTGCTATGGTGGTCCTACGTCGGCGTCGTCGTCTAATTTTCGAGCAGCTTCAGGTAGAAAAGAAGTAGGTGTAAAATTGTATAACGATATCTGAAAATCTGAGGGCATAATTGAGGTACATAATCATGGACGGATGAGGCTGAATCGACTCRATATGGAATATTGATCATTTATATATAATTTTGGAGGCTCCGACGTTTTCTTCTGGATGTTACAAATTTTGCGGTAAACTTAACATAAATCATGTTCATTGCATRAATACTATACATAATGAAAACATTTGAAGAAAAATATATTTGTATATTACATTACATTCTAAATATGCCTCCTTCTATAAGTAAGCAATACTGCCATAAGAAGTATTCTTCTATATAGTTCAAAATCCACCATTTTCGAGTTTTGACATTTTATGCATATTTTTCAGTCAACGTTTTGGCTATACTATCCAATTATATATATACACATATATATATATTTTTGTTTCTCAAGGGTTTAGCGTTATTTTTCATTCATATGGCGAGCTTTTCGAATGCTTTCAAAATGCACTGTAGAACATTTCCTAATTAGTAATTTTGCATTACATATTATTTCATTGATTTTGTTATGTATTACACTTAAAACCTTAGCATTTTATATTTATAGTCATTTTACTGTAAAAACTTCAAAATCTCTSAAAAATTTTCAAAATATTTTTTCATACAAAAATCTTTCAATTTCGCTTTTTCATATTTCGTAACTGTGTTGGTTAATTGGTTAACGAACGGTATCACAGCTCACTTAAATCGAAAACATGAATTGCCGATTCATAAGTTTTTCAAGTTTTCATAAAATATTCAAATATTTTCRTTTTYCAYAAAAAATTGTTTGCGTAATATTTTTGTACATTTTCCAMAATTCAAAATTATTTTCATAAATTAAACAATCACATTTCAAAAAACGTCTTTCAAAAAGTATATTTCAAACTTTTAACTTCTCCCAAACACAATACACCAATCAGCCATTGTCCAGGAAACATTTTCACGTACCTACTAGCATTTAGTAACTTRCACAGCACAAGACATTTTTTTTGCAACAAATTTAACAAAATTCACTTCTTCCAAAAATTTCCAATATTTGCTGAAAATCAATCGAGCATTTTTGTTTTTGTCAAAACTCTGTCACAACGCGCGCTTAAACACACACAATGAAACACTCGCGTCTACCTACTCCGTGTTGCAAAGTGTAGAGTAAGAGCTGTTCAAGCCTAGGCTTGACGATTCTCGCTTTTCCTTAGCGAGCCTTACTTCAGCAACAAATTGGGCAGGTAGCAGGAAAATCRACCGCACGTAAACGACGAACTGAGACCGAGCGCAACCGTACGGCAGACACTACCGCTACAACAAWGATTTTCGACATCCAAAAAGGCCGGCAAACGTTTAGCAACTGACTCGAGCAATCGGCGGAAACTGCAACGCAGCCACCAAACCGGGYAGTCAGCCGAAGCACCAAAAGAAACACACAAACGCACGCACACATATGCACGTGTGTGTGAAACGAAACGCASCACGAGGTTCGTGCGCGTATCTGTCGGATACAGTCCACACTTGCAGTCGGCGAATGTTCCGTTTCTCAAAATTCCTGGTTAGGCTGTGGACTGTAGCTGTATCTGTGTGTGTGCSACGCGTAGGTGTTTGTGTGTTGTTGGTTATTTGCAGCGTGCGGGCGGCGGCAAACGCTTGTTGCATGTCAACTGCAAGGGCAGTGCGCTAGGACGTTTTTGTTTTGTTGGCTTTTGCTGGGAAACGCCGTGAATCGGAACGCACATGTGGTGGATTGTATTGTGTTTGCGTGCCTGTGTATGTGTGCGTTTGTTGTGTTGCACATGAAATTGTTTTCATTTCATTAGCGTGCATTTTCACTTTCAGCAACAAATGTTGCGCAACATTTATAACCGGTGTTTAGCTACACTGTTGATGTTAGAGGAATAATGTTGCTTCGGCTGCCATAAGTAAATTCTTATTCGGAAATCGATTTTTACTTTTATGAAATTCAAAATCTTCGAGAATTTCTAGATTTTTACTGTG